GAAGCAGGAAGCAACAACAATAGAAAACTATTGGACTTTTGGTCTGCTCCGACAGGGCTCTTCATATGTTCTCATCAAAGGAAAAAGCCGATAGTGAATATTCTGAATTTATTGAAAAGATAAATTAGTAAATGTAATCTAATCCAAGCAAGTTGCTGCTCTAAGGACATACTCTGGAAGAGCAGAATTTGTGCATTGTCCTTTGTTGCCACCATCCTCTTACTACTATCTCTTATGAGTCTTGTTCTTATCATCATCGCAATCATTGTTGTTGTCACCTACCTTACTTATTACCATGTCTTATTATTTATTATTGGTGGTGGTGCTATCACCACCATTTGCTTATTGCCACCAGAGTCCACGACACCTTGCAGAGTGACATATAAAGTAATATCCCTCCTGGAGAGCTTAGAATCTAAAATTTGGCAGAGAGAGAGAGAGAGAGAGAGAGAGAGAGAGAGAGCTGAGGACCATACTAGATGCTCACGATACAGGTTGCAACTAACTGATATAACCGTTCTTTTCTTAATCAGTTGTGCCCACATGGTGTACAATGCTTACAGGGAAGGGAGGCAGTGAGGAAGGGAGGGAGTGCTGTGTGCTGCAGTAGAGTCAATCTGCCACCCTCGCCTTTGTGCATCTGGACAGCGCCAAACTCCCCATGCCTCATCCTTCTTCCTCTGGTAAGTGCCAGTGGGACGTGGTATATGGAAGTCAGTGGGACTAGTGGTGCCCCACTGCTACACCACATCAGCCACTTCTGTTCTCATTCAATGAAACCTAACCTGGGTAGGGCTGCCCCAGGAAACTGTTTATGGTTTAGGGAAGCCAAGAGCATGCAACAATAGACACATTTAGGAGATCCTATTATTTCCCTCTATCTTGAGCAGCAAATCCTTGGTGGTTCCAACATAATCCTAAGTAAAAACACAATAGGAACGCTGATTATCATGTGTTTTGGAAGTTACTCTCCCCCCCCCCCCGCCACCATTCATGTATAAATGAGGCAGCAATGTACATATCTTCCATTATTTGTGTTCGCAGGGCAAGCTTGTATCACCTTAGGAAAGCCTCTTGGACTAATTTGGTTGCAACCGCACTCTTAAATCTCGCTTACTATCAGTGACTTTGACAGAGAAAGGAGTCTGAGTGTGGTTTTTCACATTTTGTGAAGGTTTTATGATGTTGAACCTTGAAAGTGACGATCCTGATGCCACAGTTGGCTCACAGCTGCTGGCATACTTAGTGTCTCTGTGAATGAAATAATGTACTCTTGAGCACTTTCCCCTTCCTCAGAATAAGACTCATGAGCAGCTGTTGCTGCCTTCAGAGTAGTTTTGTATAACATATGAAGGATAAAAATATGTCTACCTTCCATATGAAACAAAGCTTGGAAGTGGATTGGACAAAACCTCTTCATGTAGAGGACCCTCTGTCAAGCATTCTGCTACGATGCCAAGTGGAGACCTACCTGGTCCTTTGCATTCTTCCCAGACCCAAGCAGTCTCAGGTCAGTTGAGAACTTTGGGCTTTAACATTTCAGAGGCACCCTGTACAATGCCAAAATTTGGTGCCCCTACCCTCCTCTCACTTACTGTTCGTCATTGTTTGTCACAGACAGTCAGAATACAGAGGAGTGGTGAGAGGTACCAGCAGAGGAACCCCCAAGAGAAGAGGTCTCAGATCCAGGGGATTGGTGGTAGGACGATAATAGTGATCAGAGGGAGAAAAGGGAGTAGGCTGAGAGAAGGAGGTGTCGGAAGCTGAAGAGGTAACAGGGTTTAGTGAGCAGGAAGAGACTGTGGCAGAGAGCAGACCAGAATCAGAGGCAGAAGCAGAGGCTGTTGAGGAGGGAGGGGCAAGTGGCAGAGTGGAGGCAGGCTGCTGAAGAAGCCAGAGGGTCTCCCCCTCCTTCTGCAACAAGCTCCTCTCCCCTCTGGTCTCCCAGGTCCAGAAGAGGATGGAGCAAAGACAAAAGAGCCTCATATTGCTTGGGAAGGAACCAGGGGAAGAGGAGCCTTAGGGAGCTGTGAAAGACAAGACCTTCAGTCCTGGCAACTGCCTCACAGGGGCAAGTTCCACCAGGAAGAGTTGCTGTGCTCTCTAGGCCTGGCCTCCTGAGCTGCCTGGTTTCTTTGAATGAAAAGTTAACTTCATTGAAGCCATGTGAGTTATAGCTGAGCTGCTCCTTGCTCCTGTTATTGTTGCAGTGCCCTCTTGGCCACGTGCACAGTGTAGACAAACCAGTCGCCTCTGCACAGATCCGCACAGGATGAACCAAAAAGGGTTTCAAAATCAGCTTAGGAAGCAGCAGCAGTATGGGCAAGCCAACTCCATTCTCAAAGTAAGAGGGTTGTGGTATGTAGGACTAGACCAAAAAAGAAATAAAAGCAGCATATGTGAGCCCAAATATGTACACAGGTTAAGGTGTCACAGAATTCAAATGGTGTGTCAGGTACATTGGAGGCGATGAGATGGATGAAGATGTCAACTTCAGTCCCCCCTGTTTTCCCAGTCTTTTAAGTTTGCTTTCCCACATTTCTGCAATTTGTTTTTGTTTAAGAAAGCCAGCCTTGTAACTTAAAAAGCATTGCCCAGTTAACTTGCTCAAATTCTTATTTGTACTTGGACAGGAGCACACGACTGTTCATGGAATAGGAGAAAACATATATGTGCACTTTGTTAATAATAAAAATGAAAAGAGAAGAAGAGCTCATCAGTCAACTAGTTCTTCCTTTCTATAAGCATGATGGTGATAAGTGGATCAGGCACAGATTTCCTTCAAATGAGTTTGATGGCTTTGCGTTCCCAGTAGACAGAACTCTGTGTTAGTTTTCCATTCTTTCTGTAGATTCCCAGGCAAAGTGCTTTCCCTATGTGATAAAGTGCAGCTGCTCTCAATTATTAGGGCATTTCCTAGTTAACAGTAAACCCCTTGTATAATACCTGCAAAGCCAGATTTTGGTTTCTGGGGACTCAGTAAGCTGAGTCAGTGGCATCCCGTGGATGTACTCAATGTCATTACTTCAAAACCTTTTCTATTGCTGGCTGGGAATTGCTGAGACTCCGCTGGGCTGCTTCTCCCTCCAAAGTATAAGAGGAGAGAGGGAGGGAAGAGAGAGAGAAATTGCTGCTTTTTAACATTTCCTTTTGAAATGAGAACGCTCTTTCTTGCTACATATTAGCCAGATGCAAAGAGAACATCCAAGCAATTCCCACACCTGAAGCCAAAATAATAATAATAATAATAATAATAATAATAATAATAATAATAATTTATATACCGCCCTATATCCAGAGGTCTCAGGGTGGTTCACAGAATAAAATCAAGATATAAAATCACAAAATACATAATAAAAATAAAAACAACAACCCAATAGCCCCCCCAACAAAACACATTTTAAAAGGGCATAGGATGTGAATCAGATCGACCAAAGGCCTGGTTAAAAAGAAACGTTTTTGCCTGGTGCCTAAAGGTGTATAATGAAGATGCCAGGCGAACTTCCCTGAGGAGAGCATTCCACAGACAGGGGGCCACTGCAGAGAAGGCCCGTTCTCATGTTGCCACCCTCCAGACCTCTTGAGGAGGAGGCACACGGAGGAGGGCCTCAGAAGATGATCTCAGGGTTTGAGTAGGTTCATATGGGAAATGGCTGGGTTCCTTCTTTCCTTCCTTCCTTCCCAATTCCATTTCAGATTTTGTTTGGTTGTACTATATAATACCACTGTCTTTGTCTATTATGCGCGCACACACAATTTCTGGTTATTGTTTATGATGGTCGTTCAACATTATAGAGACTAATTTTGTGTGCGCACATTTTTTCAAGTCCCTTCAAGTCTTTTGTGACTGCTTAGAAACGTCAGTGGTTAAGAGTCCTCCTGGAACAAGCCAATGGCCCATCTAGTCCAGCATCTTGTTCTCACAGTGGCCAACCAGATGGCTGTGTGGAGCCCACAAGTCCTGCTTTACTTTCATTACGCAGCGGCGCTGACTTGTGTGCACTGTGTGGTGTAAAGCCAGGGGCGCATTTGGCCCCACTAGTGGCTGACGCTGCCATGCTGTGGTAGCCAACTGGAAGCTTGGGATGGCTCCTAGGGGGTGGAGCTTCAGGCACGGACCAGAACAAATGGGCCATCTTGGGAAGTGGTGCTTCTAAACAGCACTTACCTTGGGGAGCTAGGGCCATACACCTCAGTTGCCAGTTGGAAGACACTGGAAAAGCCTGTGTCATGGTGGAGGGTGTAACAGCTTGGCAAACTCTCACAAAGTGGCCCCAGCAGGAAGGCTGGGTGATGACTCTGTCAGCAGCTGTGTTGCTTGATAGATGGATCCTTGCTCCTAACCATGTCAACCCTGTATAATACTAATACTAATACTAATACTAATACTAATACTAATACTAATACTAATACTAATATATTTATCTGGGTTTCCCCAGCCACTCTGGGCAGCTGCCAACAGAATATTAAAAACACGATAAAATATAAAACATTAAAAACTTCCCTAAACAGGGCTGCTTCCAGTTGTCTTCTAAAAGTCAGTTGTTTATTTCCTCAACATCGGGGGGGGGGGGGGCGGTTTACAGGGCGGGCACCAGTACCAAGAAGTCCCTCTGCCTGGTTCCCTATAACCTCACTTCTCTCAGGGAGGGAACCACCAGAAGGCCCTCAGTGCTGGACCTCAGTGTCTGGGCTGAATGATGGGGGTGGAGATGCTCCTTCAGGTATACTGGGCCGAGGCCGCTTAGGGCTTTAATGATCAACAGCAACACTTTGAATTGTGCTTGCAAACGTCTGGCAGCCAATGTAGGTCTTACAGGTATATATGAAGTTGTGGTGACACATAATGTTCTCATCATTGCAACACACCCAGCTGTTCATGGCTCACAAGTAGGATTCCCAACAGCTGATATCCGGACACATACTGTCCAAGACAGTGGGGCCAGAACACAACCACTGTGAGTAGCCCCACTGATTGCTTTACCATCCATGAGGCCCAAGCCCACTGGATAGCTCAGATGGTTACAGAGTGGTGCTGATAATGCCAAGGTCACAGGTTCAATCCCCATATAGGACAGCAGGATATTCCTGCATTGCAGGGAGTTGGACTAGATGACCCCAAGGGTCTCTTCCAACTCTACAATTCTATGATTGCATGATTCTACGAATTTATATAATCTTCTTTTAAAGCTGACCGAGTTGGTGGTCATCACTAATGTCATTAGATGAGAGGGCCACCACAATAAATCACAGGCCCCTTAACAGAACACACACACACAAACACACACACAGTTTCCAAAATGACAATTAACCATTATTAAAGAGAAATAGGCCATTTTCCCTCCTGCCCGTAACATTTCTTAGCACATTTTCACATTCTCAAGTTCTTTTTGGCTGTCACCATATACCCCCACCTCTCTGCTTTGCCTCTGGCTACATTACTTATTTTTTCCCTCTAGTCTTGCTCCACTTTTTCTTTCTGATATGGTTTGATTGTTTAGAATTGTTTCCCTCTGGTTCCCATCTTCCTTTCTGCGACTTTTGTATTTATTTATTTCTAACAATTCTTTTCTGCTTCATTCTTTTTAAAAAGGAGAAATCCTGCAGAATGAGCCAAACCCGGAGGCTGCGATCCTAAATGCAGATACTTGAAAGTAAAGGTAAAAAGGCAAAAAGGTAAAGGACCCCTGGATGGTTAAGTCCAGTCAAAGGCAACTATGGGGTTGTGGCGCTCATCTTGCTTTCAGGCTGAGGAAGCAGGCGTTTGTCCACAGACAGCTTTCTGGGTCATGTGGCCAGCGTGACTAAATCACTTCTGGCGCAATGGAACCATGACGGAAACCAGAGCGCACGGAAACGCTGTTTACCTTCCCGCTGCAGTGGTACCTATTTATCTACTTGCACGGGTGTGCTTTCGAACTGCTAGGTTGGCAGGAGCTGGGACAGAGCAACAGGAGCTCACCCCATCGCGGGGATTCGAACCGCTGACCTTCTGATCAGCAAGCCCAAGAAGCTCAGTGGTTTAGACCACAGTGCCACCCGCGTACCTTCATTAACGAAAATGTGATTCACTTCCAAGTAAAGGTGTTTTATATGAAACATATTGACCACTCAACAGGACCGTAGCTAAAATTCTCTTCATTTAAATGAGAGTAATAATTACAAATGTTACAGAGAATCTCGGAAGGGGAAAAAAAGACGTACTTTTTGTCATCATCAGAGGATTTATTATTTACTTATTCATTTCATTCATATACCATCCTTTCTTGGGGGAGCTCAAGATGACCTCCATGGCATTCCTAAGTAGCCTCTCATCAAGGTGCTGATTCTCCCTCTCCAAGGTGCTGATCCTGCCTTGCCTTCCTGTCTGCCTGGAATCATGGGACTATAGACCTCCTCCTTGCTTGGGTGAAGGAGGTGGTGGGCTTCCCCACGGAACAAAACTATGAGCTGCCCATGTGTGTTGTAGCAGGTGCCTTGCACACACAAGGAATGAGAAATAATGCTTATCTATCAACTACAGTTGCCACCAGCCGGCTACAAGTGAGCCTTCGACAAGATTCCAGTTTTCCATTTATCCAGCTATTTTCACAACAAGTTACCTGATCAATGAAATTTCCTGTTGACCTTGTCTAAAATTGTTACCTTGTGGGGCATATGGGATTTGAGAAAAGCAATCCCCAAACTGTCTTTCTTCAACCTGGTTTCAGTGTTGATGCATTCAGTGAATGAGAGAGAGAGAGAGAGAGAGAGAGAGAGAGAGAGAGAATTCCATTGAGAACAAACTTTGGGAGTTCTAAATATAGGCCTTGGAGTGGATTCTAATTAGGGGACTCTCTAGTAAGAAGCACTTCCCTCTTTTTTAAATAATGGAAAAGGCATTCTTACATTGTTCAAAGCTGCAAAAATAAGCCACGACATGCTATCTAAATGGACTGTTGATGAAATGATACATTTTTCATTAAACAACAAACAAATACAGGGGTGGAGGAAGGGGAGGGGAGAGAAAACACCATGCTTTGTATGGTTGGATCCTGCTGTGTGTCTTAGCTGCAGTCTCTCTGGTGAAAAACTGTCAGTAGAAGCCTTGCGGTAATGGAGACAACAACAGAAGTAGTAAAATAAGTTAATCCTTTATTTATTAGAGCAATAGGGTATATATAATGCATTGGCTTCTAATTTCTTGAGTGTGGCATGAAGTCAGAGGAATCATCTGGAGCAAGCCATTAGCAGAAGGGCATTTGCCTCGCATGAAACTGGGACAGGGACACTATCTCATCATGCACTTCTCGATTGCTCCAGTTGGTTTTTTAAGTTCAAGCAAGCACCACTGCTGCCCAGTTGCTCCGTCATGGCTGTTCGCAGTTGGCCAGACCATAAGGCGAGCTACTGCACATGTAGACCTTGAACATCATTAGGCCGCCATGTGGATGCAGTGTGGGCAAGAACCCACACGGAAGCCTTTTCATGTCACTTTCTCATTTGACAATGCCTGGGAGCTTTGCAATCATGCTCTACGTAGCCCATGGGCTTAACGCAAAATAATATAATGGTTTGCAGCAACACAAAACCAACAACACAGAAAGTGGCAAACCCTCCAAGTGTCCCTATTTTCCAGGGACAGTCCCGGATTTACAGAAGAAGTCCCAGTTTCCGATTTTATCACGGAATGTTCCGCTTTCCCTTAGGATGTCCCTATTTTCATCAGAGAAATGTTGGAAGGTATGAAAATGTCACCCCAAAACTTCTCCATAATATTTGTGGATTATGAATTTTGGGTCTGTGTATTCTCTGGTTGAAGGAGAATGAGTGGAAGGGTAATGGAGTATACCAGAAATTTCAGGGTGGAAAATTCTCAAGCTTCCCTGCTTAAAAAAAAACCTAAGATAATTAACTTCTGATAAATTTCAGCTCACTTAATGAAACCAGTTCATACTGGAGGAGGAGGGAAGTGACGGGTGGATGGTTAAGAGAGGAGTAAGGCTGGAAGGAGTAGGGGTGAAGCTCATTGCTTCTATCAATAAGTGGGACTTGACATCCTTCAGCAGGGCCTGCAAGATGGAGCTGTTCTGCCTGGCCTTCGGTCTGGGCCCAGTTTGACGCCCCTCTATGGGAACCTGTAAGTTACCTCTTTCGCCCTTTCATTGGCTCATGTGGGACCAACATGGATAGCTGGCCCTGATGAATACTTGAGGTTCCCAACTCCTATGGTTGTAATTCGTGGGCAGTCATTTAATTTTATCCTGATATTAATTTTTAAGCTGTATTTTAATCAATTGTTGGTTTGTGTTTTAATGTACTTTTTAATTACACATGTTATTGCAAAGTTTCACGAAAGAATCAGAATCACCATTGATTAAAAGAATAATCTGTAAAAGGACAAGAAGTACACAATACAAAATAGAAAATACAAAAGATAAATGAAAAAGAAAACAGTTAAAACAATGTCCGTCTTTGCAATTAACTTTTTGTAAAGCTAAGTGTGTAGACTCCTCATAACTCACCTTATGTACTCCAAATCAGTTTGTTAGTCCAGCAATTTCTTACGCTCCTTATTAATCCTAATCTTTAATCTTAATATATTGTAACATTAAATTGTTACCTATTAAAACCAATTTGTCCATTCTTTAACTTTTTAATCTTAATTCTATGATCTGTGATATATTTATAACTGTTGAAGCCTGGTACAGCTAGAAGCCAGTTAACTTCAATCCAACATCACTCTAACATTCATTCATTTTGCAATATTTCATGTAGGATCAATCTTGAATAGCTGGTCCTGATGAATACTTGCGTTCCACCAACTCTTCTCCCTGGTCACGGATTCTGCCAGTCATTTCCGCCAATTCCATGTAATCCATCATTTTCATCTGCCATTCCTCCAGTGTGGGTAGCTCTTGTGTCTTTAATGTATTTCCTATTTGATGTTAGCCGCCCTGAACCTGGTCTGGGCCAGGGAGGGCGGGGTATAAATAAAAAAATTACTTACTTACTTACAGTTATACTAAATGGTACAATAGTGAAGGCTGGATTCACAGCAGCACTTTATTCATAAGCAGATGGTGAGGGGCATGTTTTACTGAATATTCTCCTGTGTGTTTGTGTGTGAGAGTAATTCTTCAACTGTCTGGAGGAAAACTGGACAAGAATTTGGGTAGAGATTCAGGAAATTCTTTTCTGAAAAATGTTGGCCCAGTCAAAATTTGGTGACTGGTGAATTATTATTATTTTTTTGCAAGGGCCTAGCGGCAGAAACCCTAAAAGCAGATAAGAGAGAGGTCTTCTGGTTCTTTTAAAATTTAATTAGGCACCAAGCTCTCAAAGTCCATTAAATCTGGCCTTGTATGAAATCTCTATATTTAGAGAAACAGGCATGCTTTTATTGCAAAATGAGTCTTGGGTTGGTTAGCTGGGTCTGTGCTGACATCAAGACCTTTAGGAAGATACTCTTAACAGCAGTGCGGGTGAAGGAGCTTTCCTTGCTATCAGTGTTTGAACAAAATTGGAAAAATGGACATTTTAGGAAAAAAGTAAATATTAGAAGCAAGCGATGGCTATGAAAGATACTGAAACGTTATAGCGAAGAGCCCATTCAAGTCCAGTCTACATTAATCCTTTACTATCCATCTTGGCTGTTTTCCCCACCATATTTTAGATTTGTGGATAGGGGATTATCCCTTCCCCCAATAAATAGTGGCATGATACAAATAAAATTTAACAAGGCACCAATTAGCAGAATTGAGAGGGGAGGCAAGTTTTAGTGCTTCTTTCCGTCCCAGAAGCTCCTCAAAATTGGCTCTGAAGAGTTGAGGGACCGTCTGGGGAAGTTTGAGGGGAACAGGGATTGTAAGGGGGCAAGGAATCACAAAAGTTTGCCTCCCTCTCTGTCCTGCTGAGGAATACTTTTCATCAGTGCAGTGGAAGGTTATCATTACTAACACTAATGCTAATAGGTTTGTTTTCTATTTATGCCCCGATGAGCACTGCACTCTTCTAAGCGATGTTTGGTTGCCTGGGAAAGAAAGAAGCTTCGGCGATCAAAGAAACAGGCACCATAATCTTGTTGGAAAGGCTTCA